TGACAGAGAGCGCTCAATCGTTGAGTGGCACGTCAGAGTGCTCTCTCTCATATTTTAAGAATTTATGTCCTCCGGGGGGGGGGGGGGGAAGTCGAAAATAATGTTTTATGTTTTTATCTATATATATATATATATATATATATATATATATATATATATATATATATATATATATATATATTATAGAACTATATATACATGTGCTGCAATATGATATAGGCCAATAGGCCATAGGGATGGAATGAAATGGTTAATGTTTTCATTGTAATTTTCGTAGCAATTAATGAATGTTTTCTAAACAAATTATTATTGTGTTTGTTGTCTCATTTTTTACTTCATTGTTTAGTTTCGACTTCACTAATTAGGTGGTGTTTGCGAACTTTTACAAATAGATTATGAGCTGCTTGGGTCATCATAGCTTTTATAGGGGTATTTTTAGTATACATAAAATAATTGATCTAATATTAATATTAAAAATGTGGATGGATCTATTCTTATTAAAAAAAATACTAGAGGTGGTTCTCGCTAATAGCCCCTGGTTTTTTCTAGGTTCTGACCATTATTTGTTATTTCTCTTTTTTTACTTTCTCTTTCTCCCACAATCTCCTCTCTTCAAGCCACTATGTTCCACTAAATTTGTGTATCAACTTATCATTTTTTCTTCAATCCCAACGTCACTAGCTGCATAACTCACAAAAAACAGTTATGATAAGAAAATAAAATAATTGTTAGATAAGAAAAAAATTATATAAGAAAAATGGGGAAAAAAAATAGTTCTTAAGTCGAACTTAGAAGACACCACATTAGAGTGTTTTTTTCTTGAATGGAGAGGGATGATGGTGAAGTGGTGAGTTTATAGGTGGGTGAAATATGGTGAAAATGTAATATAATTTATTTTAGGTAAGTATATTAAGTTATTGCCAAGAAAATCTATAAACATCATTATTTTAAATCATATGATTTGAGTGTAAGCAAAAATCGAGGAAGAAAATCAATTGAAGCTAAAGAAATAAAAACCTATAACGTATAACTTGCACCAAATACCGATTTATATATACTGCAGCCTGAGACAGTATTACTAACATTAGCACATTAATATTTTAAAAAACAAATAATAAAAATATCATGTCAGAGACTGGTGGTCAACGACAGCTAACCTGCTCGAAAAATAAATTCAGAAAAAAAAAAAAAAAAAGAAGAAAAATCGACATTTGAAACCGGCAGTTGACCGGCGGTGGCGGTCAAAATTAGTTATTTTGTGAAATTGGAGCTAAATTAGGATTTAAATTATGAAATTAGGATCGATTGTGGATTTGAAGGAGTTGTGAGTAATTTTGGTATATAAATAAAAAAAAAAGTTTTCCTTAATTAGCAAATAAATTTGAATGGATGATATATTTGCTAGACAGAAAAATTAAGTGTTCTTGTTCTTGTCATGGAATGTTATGCAATTCCCTCTATCAGCTATTACTCTACTACTTCCTAAAAGACTTGCCATACATATTTGTCACCATTTGTATCTTAGTTGATAACCACTAGGTGTGTGGCCGAGCCGAACCAGCTTGATAAAAGCTTGGGTTGTCGAATTTGAACTCGAGCCTATTCTTAATTGTTCATAAGTTTACGAGCCGCCTCGTGAGCTTTTTATATATATTTTAATATAAATTAAATATAACTAACATATAATAATAAAGGGATAATTAGCAAGAACCCCCTCATCTAGGAAAGTGAGTTAAGAAAACACCCCCTCCAAAAAATAATTAGAGAAAACCCCCTTACCTAATATCCTACCCAAATATTATTCAATAATTCTCAAACCACCCTTATTACCCCTAACCTATTACCGTTCTCTCTCTTTTTTTTTTCTTTCTCATCTTCTCGTCTTCTCTCTTCTGCCGTTCTCTCTTCTTCTTTTCTCGTCTTCCCTCTTCTCGTCTTCTCTCTTCTCTTGGCAATTACCTCCGCCATGGATTATCGGTCAGAGGAAGATGCCTTTGTATTCGCCACCCAACTGGCCATGGCGGCGGTGTTCCCAGCAGCACTCAAAACCGCAGTGGAGCTCGACCTTTTCGAGCTCATCAAGAATTCCGGCGCCGCCGTCTCCGCTCGGGAACTCGCCGCCTAGCTTCCCGACGCCGCCAATCCCGACGCACACATCATGCTCAACAGAATCCTCCGCCTCCTCACCAGTTACTCTGTCCTAAATTCCAGCCCCAGAAATCTCCACGGCGGCGGCGGCGGCGTTGACTTGGTGTATTCTTTAGCTCCGGTTATTTATTTTATTCTTGTTAGGGATTGGTTGAATAGTGTATTGTGGCAGCGGTGTGGTGGCGATGGGGAGGCAGATTTAGGGTTTTGTGTTGGATTGGGCGGATAACGGCGCATGTAGAGAATTTCGTGCAGGCTGAAACCTTAGTCGACTATGTACATATTCATAGTCGATTACGCTAATCGATTATGTTCTGGTAGTCGATTATTTAAGGTTGATCGACTCCAATTTTTTTTTTTTTTTGGATTTTTCGAATATTGATTCCAATTGTATAAATCAATTGTAATGTTTGTATATTTTTTGTTTTTGTAATATATAGGTGATTTTGCATTTTTTCGCAGTTGTGATTTGTTATTTTTAGTAGCAGATTTTTAATCGACTATGCGCTGGTACCGATTAAGGTTGATTGACTCCAATCTTCTTTTTTTTTTTTTTGGTTTTTTTGTTTATTGATTCCAATTGTATAAACCAATTATAATGTTATTATATTTTTGTTTTTTTGTAAAATATAGTTGATTTTGCATTTTTTTGCAGTTTTGATTTGTTATTTTTAGTAGCAGACTTTTGATCGACTATGCTTCATCATAGTCAATTAAGAAACCTGATATAAAAAATAAATTAAAGAACAAAAAAAAAATTTAAAAATAAAGAATTTTCTTAATCGACTATGAAGCATAGTCGATTTAAGAGTAATCGACTATGCTTCATAGTCGATTAAAAAAACGGAGAAAAAAAAAATCGCGGAGCGCGTGACCCAATGATGAGGTGGCGGGTGGGGGTGAAGCTGGAAAACATAATGGCTGAAAATGGGTGTGGACTTTTCTCAAATGGACTAAAATATTTTGGGCCTCACTCAATTAAAAAAAGTAGTGATGGGCTTTCTCAAAGAGCCCCAATAATAAATACATATATCAATAATAATAAATTTCAGATTAAATTCTTATTCTAAAGTTAAAAACTGAATTATTAAATGCAAGAATTGAAAACTGAAGTTAAAACATACAAGCATTCACTATCAAGATTAATGACAATTACCTCTACATAACAAGTCATGAAGAAAACATTCAATTGCAATAAAAACAACAACAATAATACAAAATGGCTTTCTCTTTAGACAGAATAATCTTCATTGCCCTAATAACATTGGCAATTTCAGTCACCTCTTCACTCGGTCGACGAGATAAATCCGATATCGAAAAAGACCTAAGAGATCTCTGCTCCCAGACAAACAGGACAAAAGAGTGCTTGTCCATCATCAAATCAGAGCTCAACACATTCCAAGACACTGACGGTAGTAAAGGTGTGGCGGGAGTCGTAATCGACCTGGCAATAGCAAAAGCCCGTGAAATCCACGACTACCTTAACAGGCTTTACGGCGGCTCGAAAGACGAGGACCTGAAATTTAAGTATATAACGTGCTCGAAGAATTACAACGATGCGAACAGAAACCTCGGATTGGTAAAGAAAATGTTGGATTCGAATCGTAATTATCGGTTTATCGCGGTCGAGATTAATGATACTGTTCAAGAATTGAAAGGCTGCATTCTTGAATTCAGTAAGGATCCGTTCGACCCGGCCCATATTAGGGACAGAAATAAGGAGTTCGGGCTTTATTTGGAAATTGCAACGGTTTCCACAAACCGTTTGCTCCAGGAAAAGAACCGGAATTAATTAACACCGGTTTAATATTGCTAAACAAGGAAGAATTGGACGTGAAGTGGGAATTTATTCTGAAGAAATATTTATATTACTTTCAAAAAAAACATGAAAAATTATAACATTGTTTTGAGCTTGATTAATTTTCATACGGAGATAGTAGAATAATTGATTTTTTTTTTCACTAGTTATAAGACTAAAAAATAGCCTAGGATTAAATAATACATTCCTCTGTTAATTTTTCTTTTTTTATCTTTTTTTACGTCCGCTGCTGAACGTTTACCGTAAACGTACTGTCAATGACAGTACAATTACTATCAATCACAATAATATTATATTTGTTCGGCTTTTTTTGATTTTGTTTGATTTGTTGACAAATCAACGTAATTATATTACTGTCGTTGACGGTAAATTACTGTAAACGCAATAATAATATTGTCAACCACATCAATATGATTTTTATTTTGGCCGGTTTTGTTTTGTTTGATTTTTTGACCAATTAACGTAATAATATTACTGTCTACTATTGTAATATTACTATAAACACAATAATATTAATTTGGTTGACAGTAATATTACTGTCATTGCAATAATATTACTGTGGATGACAGTAATATTACTGTCAACCACATCATTATTAATTCTCTTTTGGCTTTTTATTATGTTTGCCTTTGTTGAACCGTCAACATATTAATATTATGGATGGCAAAACAACTCGACCCGCTAGTTAACCTCGGGTATCCGTTCTGCTTAAAATCCGCTACCAAAACCATTAGGGTTTGGTAATAGTTTTGGTAAAAGAAAAGCAAACCGTCATGATTTTGGTATGGTTCTAATTTTACCCCTTAGGTCATGCGTACCCGCCCATTTAATATACATATATATATATATATATATATATATATATATATATATATATATATATATATATATACTAGATATAGAGCACCGCGCAAGGCGCGGTGCCGGTGCCCAGTCGACATATTCAACAAAGCTTTACGTACATTAGAAGTGTTATATTGTGTTCAATGTTCATCACATTAGAAGTGGGACGTTGTACGAAAATTTGCAAAACGTAAGAATACAAAATAAAGAAAATCAACAAAAATAATAAAACAATGGGACATCGGCATAAGCAAATTATATTTCAAATTTGTGTAGTGGTGTTCTCAAATGTATATGTTTGTTGTGATCCATCAAATATAATACACAGTTCAGACGTAGAAAATTATTAAAAATCAAAGGAAAAGCGGCGAAATATCTACCACCAACACCTATGAATAGATTCAGGCAAAATTCTAACGGTACAGAACAACATATTAAAATCACCAGTTAAAGTCAATCAAAATGGAAAAAAAACTACAACATAGAGAATAAAGGCTTCGTCAAGCAACAACAAAAAAGCAAAGCCCCGGCCACATGCAGTGGTATGATCCTATCCTTTACCGTCAAGGCGTCAAGTAATTCGTTTAATGCTAGGAAATACGCCACCATGAATTTGTCAATAATCTCCCGATAAATTCCTCCAATGAACAACAGCTTCCCATCTTCCATTTCTTGCTTCCATTTCTTGTATCTGCATACATGATTGTCGATCGACCAATTAATTTGCAGTTTAGATATCTACTCCAATGAGCCGATATACATAGAATCAATGTACATCAACAACTATGACATACTCTGAATTTTCATAAATGCATCATAAGCAACAAAACCGGTTACGAAAGGTAAAAAACGGGCAATGGATTCGTTCTTGATAAAATTCAAGCACTGTGTAGGACCGACATTTTGAGTTTGTATATCAGCGGTTACGTATGACCACATACCTACTTTATGAGAAAAAATTGCAGGACCAGTCTCTTGTAATCTTGTACCAAGGTAATGTGCAACAACTTTTTAGCCAAGAAGAGTTACTGCAATGATGTTCATAACCTTAGTAGGCCTGTAAGGATTGGCATTGAGGCCACAATTGCAATCGAATCTTAAAATTGATCAATATTTTACCTATTATATGTTTGCGAGATACTTCCAACATCTACAGCCTCGCCAAGATTGTCAATTTTACAACCTTTTGTAGAGCATACAATCAAAATATAGAACAATGCATAGCCCAGAAAGTTGCTGTTGGAATATTTTTTAGTCGAAATAGAAATATACGTCAAAATGTAAAGTGAAGTACATCTACATGAGCGAGCAAGTATGAGTGTAAATCTACGACGTATCAATGAGCGACCAATATTTGGTCCATTTTCAAAAGCATATTCTCTTCAGTAGTTTATTGAGCAAAAACAGGTCTGTTACCTGAAAATGTGTTATAATCGAGTACCATGATACACAATAAGACTAATAACGGATAAACAAAGCCTCTGTAACATTACAGCCTAAATTGATTAAAAATGAGAAGATAAACAGAAATCAGACAATTACGTATATCAGTTATGACCACCGCAAACATACTTGTACAAATTTGATAGAAAGTTTTGAGGTCCTTGCTTGTAAGAATATGTTCTTTAAACATGTTTGCTTGTAATAATTTGCATAAATTACACAGATAAAAAGGAAGTTGCTTTGCAGTTAATACAGTAAAAATGAATGATATTATGTTTGTAAACATTTGTAAACTTGTGCACACAAGTAAGGAGCTGTAAACACAAAAATAATGCACATTTGAAATAAAATAACATACCATTGCCATAGCATATATGAAAAATATACCTAAATATCAAGCGGTGAATGATGCAGCCCCGAGAAAGAGAGTCCTGTGAAGATAGAAAAAGAGGAGAAAAAAATAAAATAAGAGCACTGTCTATGAGATATGAAGTGTACTAAATAAGTAATGAATCTAATGAGCTCAGATACAGTAGCATACCGTCAGCTAATTTAAAGATCTCGTGATAAACAATGTTTTTGGTATAATCAACTACACGACTGCATCTTGAACCCGGATGGATTAAAACTCTCACAGCGGCAGCACATCTTGCTCGCGACAATGCGACATATAGTTGGCCGTGAGAAAATACTGGTTCTCTAAGGTATATCCCTACAAAATCTAAAGTTTGCCCCTGAGATTTGTTGATTGTCATAACAAAACAGGGGCGTACAGGAATTTGCATTCTTTTGAACGGTATTGGACACTTAGACTTACCCGATCCCTCCAAAGGTATACGAGGAATAAACACCACATTACCCTTAAAATCCCCAACAGCAATTTCAGCCTTAATAAAGTTGTCGCTCAACTCTCGACAAATTAGACGTGTGCCATTACAGAGACCCTGTATTGGATTTAAGTTGCGCAACAACATAATTGGACAATTTTTTTTCAGCTTTAAAATGTTTGGAGGGAGGCCACCAGCTGAAACAGTATTTAAATAATCCGCATATTCTCCTTGCTGTAGTGGATCGGTTGTTGCGTTAAAACTAACGTACTCTTTCATTTTGCCCGGAAATCGTTCCATTAAGAGATCATTAAGCTCATCTACACAATCATTTTTCGGGGTAAGGATAGCCCTACCTACAAAGGCATCAGGGTTTTGCATGAAAGTATCTAAATTGGGGTAAACATCACGAATAAGACGATCCAAAGAGGTAGCAGCATCATCAAAAGGGACTAACATATGAGATGGAATCTTTATGTTATCGTCGAAAATAAAAGTCTCAACACCATTCCCAATTCTAAGCAATAAATCTATAAAATTGGGATCTTCTTTAGCCCGCATATTCTGGCACAGTTGCATACGATGTATGCCTCCCCATAGTGCAGAGCTCACCAAACTTGCGGTTATCATTGAAGCTCTAGAACCATTAACCACAATTGGCAATGTTTGCCTGAAATCGCCGCCAAATAAAACAATTTTTCCCCCAAAAGGTAACGGGCTGTCGCATATATCAGCCAACAAGGCCTCAAATGCTTCAATAGAATGTCGATTAGCCATAGAGGCCTCATCCCATACAATAAGGCTGGCCTCGCATATCATTCTAGCTAAGCTACTCTGTTTACTAACCTTGCCTATGCCCACATCGTCAACATCCAAAGGCAATTTAAATCTAGAGTGGGCTGTCCGACCACCGGGCAGCAATGATGCAGCTACACCCGAACTTGCAAACCAATGCAATCTCACCCTTGCGGCGAACATAAGCAAGCAACGCCCTATACAAAAATGTTTTGCCAGTGCCTCCTGGACCATCGACGAAAAACACACCGTGACCCCTGGAATCAAGCTGAAGCACTACTTTATCAAAAACAAACTGTTGTTCAGTATTTAGACAACCTATAGAGGCCATATCCTCCACCGAGACAATGATGGAGCGTTCATATTTGTATTCATTGCTTGAGTAGTCATCAGCACATGCATACTTACAACTAAAACGGATTGGAAAGTCAGCCAAAGATTTATCCATAGAGTTAAGTACAACATCAATTGCAGCAACAGTTTTTTCAAGCACCTGGTCGCCCGTTAATATTCCATTGGTAGCAAAGTCTTCAGACAACGGACAATAATATTTATCCCACAACACTTGCAAGTCTGTAGTTATGCCGTAAACGAGGAGCAATGCAAACAACACACGCAGACACGAAGGGGCCTGAAAGAGAGCCGCCTCTGCCAAGCAACTCATCAGATTGTAGAAGCCCTCTTGAAACAGCTGCCTCACGAAAGGTCGCAAATGTGTGGCCATTCACAGTAAGCAAGTCCTTAAAAGAAGTAGGGCAGCGGACATTCATTAACAACAGACGCTCAAAATAACGCTCACCTTCAAATGGATTAACTGTGCATAGACGACCAACCACAGCTTGTTTCTGTCGAACTTTCCATTTTTTCTTGGTTGGCTCCCACACAAAGTACTCCGGAAATTCTTTATACAAAAGCTTAAGACGTATTGCCGACTCATCACCACTATTGGAAACAAAGAATTCTATCAGCATCGTCCTACTCGATAAGGGATCATCAAGAACATGCACCAACGACTATTGTACACCAAAACGTAATGGCTGGTGATTTGGTAAATGTACAGGCATTACTATGACTGGGGCGACATCTCGCTCATCAAGAAACCATATATTCTCCAGCATGCCTCAGGAGCGCATATCCAACGTCCATCTTGATAGTCCTGTATTTCATCACAAATATTCACCGATGCATTTGGAACAACATTGTATGCAATTTTATCATGCCCCTTGTGAATATATTTATACAAGTACTTCACCAATTTTGCATCAGCGCATATCTCAACATTAATATGACAATCAAATTTCGATAGTAGAAAGGGACAGTAGGGCACGACGAATCTATTATCAAGAAGCACATTTCTGACAAGAACTCTCTGTCCATCATCCCTTCTTCTGTACGCAGCATAGCCATTCTTACCAGCCGTTGTGTGGTCCGAAAATTCTTTAGGGAAATGATTTTTGCAGTGACCATCGCGCATGCACACATTCTTAGGATTTGCATCACCACAAGGTCCATGCATCATATGTTTAATCACACATTCACGCAAAAAAAGATTTGAACCACTAGGGATCTCAGCCGAAATGAGGTGGTCATAGACCGCCGGAGACTTTATTTTATGATGATCTGCCAAAATAATAACCCAGTGACAGTGGGGAAGCCCTCGTTTCTGAGACTCAACTGCATATACGTATGCTGCAACTTCACCGAAAATTTTGTTTTTAATAATATCATGCTTTAGTTCCTGGAGCTTTGACTGGAAAACACGAGCAACAAGATCTGGTCTGTCAGCTGGTTTTTGTCCAGGCAACAACATAGAAGTTATTTCTTTCCACGCCGGGTTGCATGTCATAGTTATGAACAGATCAGGTTTGCCAAATTTTTGAACAAGAGCCATGGCATTAACGTATCGCCTCCGCATATCTCTTGGACCACCAATAAAAGAAGACGGGAGCAGAATTTTCTGTCCTACACCTGATGCGGCAATTTCACCATCAATGTGAAGACTATCAATAATACCCTGAAATGATTCAGTTCGTGTTTCTCTTTGCACTTGCTCTGATCTATAGTAATCCAACCTCTGTGTCTCAACTTTAATGTACATATCAATTATATATTGTTGAGTCAGTCGACCTGCGTGCAACAAATACGACCAATCACCATCCCTCATTTGCGCCTTGTAACAATAATATTGTCGACATGAAACATTCGAGCGATTTCGCCTATTCTGTTGAAGCACTGGAAAAAAAGATAACAGAATACAATTACAGGGGAATGATAAGAAAAAAATTCGACAAAACCCAAAAAAAAAAACCAACCATCATTTTCAATCCGCAACAACTGCTCTGCAGATTGTACAACAGATGCATCAACTATGTCTTGGCCGCTACAAGAACCAACACTCCCTTTCTGTCTCAATCTATGCGATAGCACCAGTTTCCCAATTCCTGCATGCCAACCGGGCTCCCCGCGAGTAAACAGAAGAGGGTATTGCAACGTATCGTAGCAACCATAATAGTAGCTTATTATACGACTCGCACCAGATTTGGTAAATACACGTATATCACGTTCCAACCCTGTACCGCTCCTGTCGCCGTCCTTCCAAACAGCAGCAACTTGATCAACCGTAGGAAGATTGTACGTCCTCTGGTCTAAAACGGAGTCAGATCTGAGAACTATATAGGCATCTGAGAGGTTTTCCCAAGTACTCAACCGCTTGAAGAACACTGCATATGAATTAATAGAAAGAGCATCTATAAGAAGCGACATTATGTCACGACGAAATTCCTTCTTTTCAAGCATCTCGTTAGATAAATTGTCCGCAGTGTCCAGGAAGAAAAGTTGTAGCATTTTAGAAAGATCTGCGAACCTTTAACAGCATTTAGAAAATGTGAAACCTGGCCCACAACTTTTAATGCATAGATACCGTCCCTTGCCCACCTGGAGTTTTCGTCGATAGTCATACCAATTGAAGTAAAAGCAAATGCTCCATTGTAGGATCTGACCCTACGCCTAAACTCCACAGCCAATTCAGACTCGACAGAAGTGAACAAAAACCACATTATAGGACAATACGCGGATTTTGGAAAAAGAATTTGTCCACTAGCACAACAAAACCCTGCACATTCCCGATAGAAACGATATGCCCCGCAATATTCACATATATCCTCCTTAGGCAAAAACCACGGCGACTGATAGACGGATTGGATTCCCTTAAACTGCTCAATGGAGAGAGGTGAAACAAAGCTCTCGGAATGAGCAGCAGGCGTAACAACTGAAATTTAAAGAAACGAAAGAAAATTACGAACACAATATGCAAAAAATGTTGAACTACAAAATGTAGATGAACAAATACTTGAAGCAGACGAAGAGGCGGCTGATGCTTTTGTCTGAATATTAGAAAATTTAGCTGCACGTAGGGCAGCCTTACGATTGGAAACGCGCATAAGCAATACATCCTTGCGGGCCGTATCCATTGATGCATACCGCGCACGGGCGTTCTTATTACGAGAAACACACCTGTTGTCGGTCATCTGAGGATCAGCAGCAGCTGCGAAGCACGAAAAACCGAATTTAATACATAACAAACAACTACCAAGGTAAATTGCTGAGAAACAAATTTTAATAAATAACAGCGATGTAGTAGGAATAAAAATCTGATATCATAAGTAAAAGTAATACAGGCACCATCAATACGTAGGCATACTGGCATAGGATGAAGATTACAGATGCAGGGAAAATGGGAAAAAATACAACGCACCATTGGCACCATTGGCAAAAGCAGACGAAGAAGAAGGAAGTGGAGAAGGAACCAAAAGAGTTGGAGCAAATAGGCGAGAACGCTTTTTGGAGGCGTATCGATCGCGCCTGCGCTCATTTGTACATAACCTCTTCCTTTCTTCCGAATCAGGAACATCTGTGGAGACATAATATAGAACATGAACACCAAGAAGACCGTGCAATGCAGTGACGCATATAACTACAAGAAATAAACGAATCCAACCATAACCAAAATCAGAAGCAAGTTTAGAGATGCTACTTTCTTATAATTTGTGTTGATTTACTAAGGCCACCTTTTTTGTCATGTCGCAAAATATTTTTTTACAAGAGTTTTCGTACTCTAAATGGTAGGCGGGATTTAAGATTTTCTCACTGGGGTACACCTGCGAGACCGAGAGAAAATAAATAAATAAAGAGACCGAGTGAAAATAAATAAATGAACAGGACATGAAAAAAAAGGTGAGGCAGACGAACAAGATACGAGATGCAGGGAACATGAGAAAAATACAACGCACCATTGCCAAAAGCAGACGAAGAAGAAGCAAGAGGAGAAGGGACCAAAGGCGTTGGAGCGAACAGGCGAGCGCGTTTTTTTGAGGCATAACGAGCTCGCCTACGCTCATTTGTACGTAACCTCTCCCTTTCTACCGAATCAGGAACATCTGTGAGGACATAATATAGAACATAAACACCAAGAAGACCGCGCAATACAGTAACGCATAAAACTTGCAAGAAGTGAATGACTCCAACCTAAAATCATACCCACAAATCAGAGACAAGTTTAGAGATGCTACTTTCTTATAAATTGCTTTACTAAGGCAACTTTGTTGGTCATCTGGAAAAATATTTTTCAACAAAAAAATTCCTGCTCTAAATGGTAGGCGAGATTTAAGATTTTCTCATTCTGGTACACCTACGAGACAGAGCGGAAAGAAATAAATGAACATGACGGTGAAAAAAGAAAGAAGCACACATGCTATTGAAATTGTCCCAAACGGATCGACAATCCTCTGAAACTTCGAAATCACTTGAGAAATACATATCCTTGTGTAACACTTCTCATCCTAATAACAAAGACAATAAAACAAAAAAGTCGACAAGCATATAACCCCTGTCATTCCCAGGTCCAAAAAGCATAACCATGTAACTAAATAAAGTTGCTAGTTTTTTAAGGCACACTATAACCGTGAGCACTTAGTTTTCAACCATCGAAGATATAAACACAAAATGTTCTTACAAAATAGCTTCAATGTTTAAAAGATCCTACGAACAACAAAAGAAATCAAAGACCTTAGACAACCGAACTGAACCCAAATATCAGATGCGAACTATTTTTTTGAAATAGAAAGAACCACGGGAAAAGAAAAAGCAGCAAAATAGGTAACGGAAAAATAATAACCAAGCTTATTGTCGCCCAAGGCACACAAAGAAGAGGCATGAGGAGAAGAGAGTAAAGCATTTTGAGCCATTGGCCGGCCACGCTTCATGGAGGCGTAGCGATCAAGCAGCCACCTATTTACACCAACCTCTTCATTTGTACGGACTTCATAGTAATATCGTAAAACACCTGCGAGATCGAGTAGAGATAATAGATAAACAAAAAGAGGAAGGAAAACAAAAAGGGTAGCAGACATGGTATTGAAAATGATCGAAACGGATGCAGAGCCCCTCCAACCTCAAAAACAATTGACATACACATATTCCTGTGTAAAACTCAACAACCTAATCATAATAACACTTGCCATTCCCAAGTGTGAACAACATAACGATTGAAAAATAAGAATAGATTGGCACAAAGCATGGTGCAAAAATAAGAGAAGAAAAACATTGGCAAGCAAATTATTAATTGGGAAATTTCTTAGACCTGCCTTGCTCCATTCTCCAGCAACATCGGTACTACAATATACAAACTGGCAAATTCACAAACAAAGAATACATTCAAATCTTAGAGAAATAATAACAATATTATGACATTTTTCTAAAAAATCTCGCTGAAAAAAACTTGATGAAAATGTTCATCTTCAAAGCAGAGTGGATTCTTGAAAGCGAAAAATAATACCAATAAAATTTCCAAAACAAAACTACATTTAACCTCTGCAGGATGATCCTATCTGGAACAATTATCCGATAGGATTCACTGATGATTTCCAATAAACGTAACTTACGTTTAAAAAGATAGAAAATTCTAATGATCTCAAGTGCAAATCAAAATAACTAAGGTAGTAAGGTTTAAACTAAAATCAATGTACCTTGTCCCCTGTCTGAACATAGAATGACAAAATACGGTTTTGTGCAGAAATCAAAGAAGCAATATAATCATGGAACGATGCAGGTCCGTAGTAACATTACTCACAAATTAAACACTGCAATTCAAAATTAGCTGTTATTAAAATCATGAGAACATAAAATTATTATTGAACAAACAAAATGACAGGATCAAATATTATTTCCACAAACTATAGATCAATAATAAAATATCACTGACAATTGTCAAAATATTGACATAGAACTTTTAGAAGAAAAAAGAGGGAGAAATAGACAGTAGTAAAATATTATTTCATAATCAAATAAAAATCTTAATCTACATAGTTTACTGGAATCTCAAACAGCACAATGCAGAAGATTGGTTGAAATCTCACCAGAATCATATCCCTCAACAGGTATTTTGTGTGGAAAATATAATATGCTGACTTAGCAGAAAATTAAAGACAAGAAATAATTATTCGAGAAAACAAGCAATCTTGAATTTTCAGCATTTTGGGCCCTTTGTCGAGGCACTTCTCAGGTAGTACATACATGAAAGCATTGAAATTTTCGAATTTAACAATGAACCCGTAAAAATATGTGGGAGCCCGAAATTTTTATTGTTTGAAATCGAATAGCCCCCCCCTGCAAACAATAATAATTCCGATGGTAACTTGAAAAAACGGACTGAAACTTTTCTATGGTAGAAGCACAGTATATTTTTGAAGTTCTTGTCGGTGTGGAATTTGGGAGAAGGAGAGGAGCCCATCCTCAGAAGAAGAGGTTTATTGAGAAACTCTCTCTGAACGGTGAACCCCTTTTTGGGTGGAGGAAGGAACAGAAGGCACGTGTAAGGAGGATTAAAGAAGAATTGAAAATAAAAGGAAAAGAAAAGAAATCTGGCATGTGATTGGATGGGGAAAATAAAACGGCGTCGTTTCTACGGCTGGAGTGCAAAAAAAAAAGAGAAAATAAATTAAGGAGGACAAATTGTGGAGATGTACATATATATAGTTGTTTAGGGGTAATTTAGTCTTTTCCTCTTTTCTATTCAAGGGGGTTATGTGCTAATTTCATACCATAAGGGGGTCATGTGCAAAATGTCAAAACTACAAGGGGGTTATGTGCCTAATTTCATACCATAAGGGGGTCATGTGCAAAATGTCAAAACTACAAGGGGGTTATGTGCCTAATTTCATACCATAAGGGGGTCATGTGCAAAATGTCAAAACCACAAGGGGGTTAAGTGCCTAATTTCATACCACAACAGAGTCATGTGCAAAATGTTCAAACCACAAGGGGGTTAAGTGCTATTTACCCTTTTTTTTTTCAAAAAAAAAAATTTTGCCGCCATATTCCGGCGTTGACTTTTCAATTTTTTTTTCTTTTCTTCCGGATTTTTTTGCCGGTCTCCGGCGTTGACTTTTTCGATTTTGTTTTTATTTTTTTCTTTTTTCTTTTCTTTTCTTCCGGATTTTTTCGCCGGTTTTCGGCGTTGACCGGCGGTCTCCGGCGTTGACTTTTTTTGTGTTTTTTTAAGTGTTTTTTTTTTGTTTTGTTTTGTTTGTTTTTTTATTACGTCCGCCGCTAAACATTGACCGTAATTGTGCTGTCACTGACAGTAAATCTTATATATAAAAGAAAGAAACGCTAGGGCAACCCTAAGAAACCCTAATGTCATATTTGTAATTTTTTTTCAATTTTTATCAAATTTTTATCTCCTTAATATTATTTTAAATATTATTTTCGAATTTTATCATATTTGTATCCCCTAAATATTATTTTAAATATTATTTTTTATTTTTATCAGATTTTTGTCTCCTAAATATTATTTTTTATTTTTATCAAATTTTTATCTCCTAAATATTATTATAAATAATATTTTTTTAATTTTATCAATTTTATATCTCCTAACTATAATTTTAAATATAATTTTCAACATATTTGTAATTTTTTTTCAATTTTTATCAAATTTTTATCTCCTTAATATTATTTTAAATATTATTTTCGAATTTTATCATATTTGTATCCCCTAAATATTATTTTAAATATTATTTATATATAAAAGAAAGAAACGCTAGGGCAACCCTAAGAAACCCTAATGTCATATTTGTAATTTTTTTTCAATTTTTATCAAATTTTTATCTCCTTAATATTATTTTAAATATTATTTTCGAATTTTATCATATTTGTATCCCCTAAATATTATTTTAAATATTATTTTTTATTTTTATCAGATTTTTATCTCCTAAATATTATTATAAATAATATTTTTTTAATTTTATCAATTTTATATCTCCTAACTATAATTTTAAATATAATTTTCAACATATTTGTAATTTTTTTTCAATTTTTATCAAATTTTTATCTCCTTAATATTATTTTAAATATTATTTTCGAATTTTATCATATTTGTATCCCCTAAATATTATTTTAAATATTATTTTTTATTTTTATCAGATTTTTGTCTCCTAAATATTATTTTTTTATTTTTATCAAATTTTTATCTCCTAAATATTATTATAAATAATATTTTTTTAATTTTATCAATTTTATATCTCCTAACTATAATTTTAAATATAATTTTCAACTTTTAGCAGATTTTTATCTCCTAAATATTATTTTTAATTTTTTTCAAAGTTATACCTCCTAAATAATATTTTAAATATTTGTTTTCGAGTTTTATCATGTTTTTATTAGTTTTTTATCTCCTAAATATTAATTTTTTTTATCAGATTATTGTCTCCTAAAGATTATTTTCGATTTTTATCAAATTTTTATTTCCTAAATATTATTTTAAATAATAATTTTGATTTTAATCATATTTTATCTCCTAAATATTATTCTAATTATTATTTTCATATTTTATCAACTTTTATCTCATTAACATTATTTGAAATGTTATTTTCGATTTTTATCAAAGTTTTATCTTCTAACTATTATTTTAAATTTTATTTTCGATTTTTATCTCCTAAATATTATTTTTTGATTTTTTTTTTATCAAATTTTTATCTCCTAAATATTATTTTAAATATTATTATCGATTTTCATCAAATTCTCCTAGATATTATTTATAATAATGTGATTTTCGATTTTTACAGAAAAGGGTAAATAAATCTGATTTTCATCCCTAGCGAATTTTGTGACATCGTTTCACAGAATGTCTGCAACATTTGAATTTTATTTCTTCCCTACCTAAGGCTTCTTCTTTTGGTAACCCGACTTTAGATTTTTTTTTTATCTTCTTCATCCTATTGACTGTGTGGCAATTAGTTTACATCTTTTTCCATCATGGCTTATAGGTAATTTCATTTTATTAAATTATGTGTTTCATTAATTTATACCAAAGTTTTCAAATTTTATGTATAACAATTATTTCATTTTATATGTTATTGGACATGTTATTGAAATGGATGATTTGAGAGAATTAACAAAAAATGGGCGGAGCCACAAGCTATTGGAAATCGACAGTAAAGTTATTTCTTTTTTTTTTTTGTAGTATACTTAATAATGTTCCAGTATGATAGAATTTCGATCATACGATACATCAAACGTTTGTTTATATTCTTACAACATCAAAACAATGCAATTTGTTGTCCCGTGCATCGCACGGGTACAATTACTAGTTAAGGTAATTATACTGTCAATGATAGTTAATTAACGTAATTGTACTGCCGTTGACAATACATTTATGTAATTGTGCTGCCTTTGACAGTAAATTAATGTAATATTATTATTTTTTATTTTTTGTTATTTTTTTTATTTTGTTTGATTTGTTGACAAGTCAACGTAATTATATTACTGTCGTTGACAGTAAAATAACTGTAAACACAATAATATTATTGTCAACAACATCAATATTATTATTTTTTTGGGGTTTTTGTTTTATTTGAGTTATTCACGGAGTAACGTAATAATATTACTGTCTATTATTGTAATATTACTGTAAACACAATAATATTACTGTGGCTGACGGTAATATTATTGTTGTTATAGTAATATTGTTGTCAACCACATCAATATTATTATTTTGTTTGGATTCCTTTGTTTCTTGAGTTATTCAAGGAGTAACGTAATAATATTACTGTCTATTATTGTAATATTACTGTTGTTATTGTAATATTACTGTCACTCACAGTAATATTATTTTTTTTGGCTTTTTATTATGTTTACATTTGTTGAACGGTCAACATAGTAATATTACTCTATTGCACAATAATAATGAGTTTTGTTGTGTTAATATTACTGTGCTAGAGATTAATACAGCAATATTACTGTGTTAAACTGTAGTTTAGTTAATTTTACTGTGTTTAACAGTAATATAGTTAATAGGGCAAAGTACAGTATACACCCCTGAATTATGAGGGTTGTACCACATTGCCCCCCTGTACTATAAAACGTCTCAAATACCCCCCCTCCGTTTAACTTCTGTTTGTGAAAGCTGACGTGGCACTTTAACTTTATTGCTTATAGCCGTTTTTTGTACTGTTGGATGTTTTCTGACGATTTTACCCCTTCATTCAAGTATATATGTGTGTGTGTGTTGGAGTCCTTTCACGAGCTCATTTTTTCCTTTTTTTTTATTTGCTAAATTGTTGCATTTTTGGTCAAGTCTTTTTGCTCCATTTTTTTTGGGTTTTTTTTTCTCATTTGTTTCCACCTTATTTAACCATTGAAAAAACATTGTTTTCTTTCTTCAAAAATTTATTAAAATGTCCGATAGCAGCTCAAATACCCAAAAAAAAAATTCCCTGCACAAAAATCATCAAAACTGAAATTTTAAAAACAATAGCAAAAGAAAATACCTACAATTACAAAATCAATCCTAAAAATGAAAAATTTCCCATAAAATAAACACAGTTCTAAAATACATCAAGTATTCACAATTTCTTATCAAAATCGACAAATACATCAAGTATTATATAATTACTAAGTTTCACACAAAAAACCCTCAATCAAAATTCAACCCCTAAACCCTTAAACAAAATTACGAACAAAGACGAGAAAAACCCTAGAAATACGACTAACCTTTGCCACGGTCTTCAAATGTCTTATGTCATAGTACAGGGGTGTTTGTATTTATGTGTAGTACAGGGGGTAAATGATACAAAGTCCATAGTACAGGGGTGTTTTTGTATTTAACCCAAATAAAAAATAATTATGACTAGATTGCGAATTTTGAAAACGTAAAGATCCGAATCATAATATTCCCCGGTTGTTCCCTTTGCCGAAGATCAAATCAAATTTAAAGTATTGGAGCTAATTGTAAGTGTTTTAGAGCGGGATAATTATAATTTTGGTCCCTATACTTACCACCTAAAACGATTTTAGTCCTCAAACATTTGTCACCACGAACTTAGTCCTCAAACTTACCATTTTTTGACAATTTTGGTTGACCGTCAAATTTTCAAAATGGATGAAATTGTCATGTGACATCCACTTGGCAGCATACAGATGAGTTGGAATTAAACTCATTCCACCTCATTTCTTACCCCCGCAAATATTTAATGCCTAATTTATGTTAGTAGGTTTGAAATCTAATTCTCTTTTTTTTAATTTCTCCCCAACCCTAAACCTGCCATTTACTTGACCACCTTCCGCCGCCTTCCACCACCTCACCATCACATCTTCTAACAAAAATAACAAGAAAATCAGAGCAATCCCAATGGCAAAATAAAAGGGAAAAAAAAAAACACCACTAACCCACTAGGGCACCAATGTAAAACCGGTGCTCAAATCAAAACCTCTACCACCAAAGCTTGTACTCGTCTTTATGCTACAACATACAACTTGAGATGAAATCAAAACTGTAACTATCGAATTTATCAAATTCAAAGTTTAGAGATTGCAACTTGGAGAAATTTACCAAAATCAAAGATTATTAATGCACAACCGTGATGTTCCAACTCCACAAACATTTAAAATTTGTGAAATTAGGGTTAAGCAATTACAGTGTTGTATTAAACGCCTCAATTTGAGGATTAAAAAGTGGAGTTCCAGGGTTGGATTTTTGTTGAAATGAAATTAGAGGAAATTAGGGATTTGGATGGTAGAAATTGGAGTTGTGTACCAGCTGGATTTTTTATTGCCACTTGGACCTCACATAAGGAGCACATGGCATTTTCGTCCAAGTTAACTGAAAAAGTTGAGGGGCGAACTGAAATTGTCAAAATATGGTAAGATTGATGACTAATTACGTGAACTTAAAAGTTTGAGAACTAAAATCGTTTTAGGTGGCAAGTATAAAGACCAAAAGGGTAATTTTCCCGTTTTAAAACTTTTAAGTAAAAATTAAAATCCTAATTTGACATCGTTAAGCCGTTGTTAGAGAGTTGGGGAAGTAAATTAGAGGATTCATGCCGTTCCAACCCTGTTCCGGGACCTGTGGCAGCCGCGACAGTCCGATTTATCGCATTATCCCAGTGTTTCGACCATTTTTTGCCCATTTTCCGACGTTCCAGTCTTTGAACAGTTTTGTTATGGAATCCAGAACGGAGAGGGCCGTTCCCGCGAACCATGGTCCACCAACACCACCATGATGAAGTTCTCTAGGTTTTCCTCCAGATTTACTGTTTTTTCTTCCAAAAAATGGATGATTGGACACGGTCTTCTCACAATTGAGGCCGCCCCATGCTGTAGCGGAGGTGTGCGGCAGTGAGATCGGTGTGGCGGCAACGGTCTGGGTTGAGGAAAGCGAAGAATGAAAGAGATGGGAAGAAAAGAAGGCTTTGGGGCGTTTCTGACATTTTACACGTAAAAATAGAGAAAAAAATGTAAGGGGGACATAGCTAATTTTTTTAGGGGTATTTGCTAATTAGAAAATTTAAGGCTATGTATTTGCAATTGTAGGCATTGGGCGGATTTAAGAGGTGGACATATATGCCATGGACCACCCTAAATCTTCAAACTAAGTTTGTTTATAGTGGTAAAGATGTTTATATAAGTTGGGCGAGGTCGCGAATTAGACTTCTCTAGGACGCATAAAATATTGGTTCATTTTTTTGCTCCGCTAATTTCTTTTCAGCCCTCTTCCTTTTCTTTTTTTTTTGCTTCAATAATTTTCTTTTCAGCCCCTCTCACTTTTTTTTTTTTTTTGCCTCAATTAATTTTTTCTGCTATTTTCCCTTTTTGTTTTGCCTCAATTATTTTTTTTCCAGCCCCTCCCCTTTTTTTCGCCTCAATTAATTTTATTCAGCCCCTCTTCTCTTTTTTGCCACAATTATTTTTTCTTCTGCCACTCTCCTATTTCTTTTGCTTCAAATAACTTTTTTTCAACCCTTCTTTTCTTTTTTGCCTCAATTAACTTTTTTTCAACCCCTCTCCTTTTTTTTTTTGGCCTCAAATAATTTTTTTCAGCCTCAATTGATTTTATTCATCCCCTCTTCTCTTTTTCGCCTCAATTATTTTTTTCTTCAGCCCCTCTCCTATTTCTTTTGCTTCAAATAACTTTTTCTCAACCCCTCTTTTTTTTCTTTTTTGCCTCAATTAACTTTTTTCAACCCCTTTCCTTTTTTTTTTTTGCCTCAATTAATTTTTTCCCTTTTTTTTGTCTCAATTAATTTTTTTTCAGCCCTCCCAAAAATAAATGCATAAATTTTAGTTCATTTTTTTTGCCTGAATTAATTTGTTGTAGCCCCTCTCCCCAAAAACGCGCATCTCCCAAATCAGACCCCTAAATCTTTTTTTTTTCTAAGCCATGACTAAGAGGAAAATGTATTTACGCTTGAACTAGAAATAGATTTTCAATCTAAGTTCTAATTGAAATATTAATATATTTTTACTTTATAATACTCGAATATTTAATTATTAAATTTTTGTATGCGGCGTACACTGAGTTTTCATCATGGATCGGCCACTGCCACTGCCACTAGCCACTACACAAGGAACAACATAAACAACCACAACGACGCAAATATCAAGAGGTCACACATATTCTTATAAATATACCAACTGCTGCAGAATAGAAAAATGAAAATAAAGATAGAAGGTCATGTATATATATTATACATATAATTTAATTAATGGTGGCGCTTTCGGTTTGCGGGCTCCTTGTGAGCATTGAAGTAAACGGTCGCGACGGGAATCCCGAGATCAAGGTCCTGTGCGAATGCCCTGGTGTTGAAATGTGACCGCGACGGAGGCGCCTCCACCCCATCCAAACCTCTTTTCTGCCTAAAAAGCACTATTATGTATCGGTGGATTCCCACCGGCGGCCTCGGCCCTACGTATTCCAGCACCTCCTTACCTGCACCCACACAGTACACACACATAATGTATCTATCTCTATTTTCCGGGTGTTAAATGCTACACATGATTATTTATTTGAACTGTATATTTTATTAAATAACTACCTACTAAGCACTTCATATAAGTGCGTGTGATTATTTGTAGATTTACAATTCAAATCCATCTAGGATAAATAATCAAGTGTACCATCTAATTTCCCATGTTTCTCTAATAACGGCAAGATAACAATAGTTTTTTTTTTTCTTCAATAATCTTTCCTTTTTTTCTCAATTCTGCAAAGACCTTCAAAAAAAAATTATATTTTTTCTTCCAATATTGTAAACTCAAATAATAGCACTTTTTAATTAATTGAATTATTAAATATCATATAAAACAATTTTATATAGATTGATTTAGTAGAACAAAACATCGAAATTATATTTTCTTATTTTTATATTAAAGAGTCTCCAAACATTCCTATCCACACTATTATTTTATTTTTTTATCCAATAATTATAAAGTCAAATATAATTTTCATTTAGTCTTGATTTATGTTCATGGACACTTGGATTGGTTAGGAGCAAGCAAATTGTACCTCGAGTAACATTGGAGCAGCCTGGAATATCCGTCACGATCCTAGGAATTAAAAAATCAAAACAACAACACATTAAAATTAATTAGAATAATCGAAATAATATAATGTTGCAAATACAATAAAATAAAATAATGGAAGAATAATTAATACTAACCAATGAACCCACTCTCGCATGCTTGGCTCACTTGGACTCGGAGCATCAGGATCCGTCATCACCTGCATGCAATAGATCCAACACTACCATATCAACAATTATTAATTAATTAATTTAATTACTAAATTTTACACCTACTTGACATTTAATTGCATAGTATAGATTAGATCTCCCTTTTTTTTTTGTCTTTTTTCTTAATATATACTTTATTATAATAAAATATGAAATATTGTACAAAATAAATCAGAAAATCCGAATTGAACTTATTCACCATGCATACATCTTAGGCATGCATAAATCTCATCACTAATGTTCATTTTGTTAAATTAAATTCCATTTCCTCTTTTAATACAAAAAAATCTTTTGTGTTTAAAAGTGAAAAAAAAAAATTTAATAGTTTTCCTTTGCATGGAAGGAAACTTGTCCCCAAACCCGGGATATTAGAGGCTACACTCGATTATCTACACCGGGGGATTATTGACTGTAGATCTGCACATAATAACACACTGGTGTGTATTTGTAACCTCATCTACAATTAACAATCACCAATCACCTGATGTAAATAACCAAGTATCTAACCAGAGTGTAGAAATTAAAGGGAGGGATGAATTTTGTTGATTAAGAAAAATAATTAATAATAATACCAGAGTGTAGAGTTGATTGGGGTATCCAGTGATGGTAAGCCTGGGTGGAGAGGCAGCCAAAGAAGGCTTGATATCACAGCCATTGTTGACATGCTTTGATCCATAGTATACAGACATATTCACTGTCGGTACAAACATGTCTACCACATCCCCTATTACTCTTCCAACTACCAATGGATCTACATTTGCCCCCATTTTCTTTTTTTTTTTCAATTTATTATTATTAAATATATATTCTAATTTCATCACATCAAACAGCCGGTGTACACAGTGGATATTTATAGTGCTGAAAGAGTAGTTGCATGCAACCTATAAAGCATGCACAGGGCAATGCAAAAAGCAAGGCACCACGTGTGCATACACACCAAATTTTGTCCGCTTCCGACACGTGTTTGGGTTTTCTGAGGTTCTTTTGCTCTCAGTTACAGTACTCATAGTCACAGTTACAGACCACAGTTTTATTTAATTGCTTTTTCAAAATATATAGTGGAAAGTAAATGCTTTTCAGGAATGTTTTGTCATATTTATTATTTCGGGTTTTAGCTCATAAATTATTTTTGCCTATTTTCAATATACTAACTCATTAATATTCACTACTCTCTCTGTTTCATAATATCTGTCTCTTTTGAGAATTTTTTTGTTCCATATTATATGTTACTTTACAATTCAAATGCTGCATTAATTGCTTATTTTTCAATTTTACCCTTATTAACTCTATAGCACTCTTCCTGCATTAATTAATAAACAAAGGGTATTTTGGTCCATCAATATCTATTTTCCTAAAATGAAGACATATTTATTGAGATTCTTAAGATTTGTGTCAAGGTGGAAAACGACACATATTTAGGAACGGATGGAGTATTATATATTGGAAAATGCACTCTCCTCTTTTAAGTTTTACTTACAGTTAGCTCCCTATCTATCTTGAAATGTCTGAAGTGCCCCTCGCATGATTGTACTGAGCCCAAATCTAACACGTTTCTACGCCTAAAAAACGTCATTTTCCCTAAAACGATTAATACTGATATTCACAATAAAAATTGTTGAATTCGCGATGAGAACAAAGACCAAGAAGGCAAGAAGGGCAGAAAAAAAATGAGAAGAAAACGTTGTCGATCTCAAGTAATCGTGAAATAATTACAGTTTTGATCCTTGTATTATACATTTTTTTATTTTGGTCCTCAAAAGTTTTTTGCCACGAAATTGGTCCTTAAATTACTGGGTTTCTTACAGTTTCAATCCGCCGTTTGAATTTATGTTAAGTTGTATTGAAAAGGTCACGTTTGGGGCACGTGACACAACAATCCAACCCTCTTTTTACCTATATTGTTTAGCATATATTCCGTTTTCCCCTTTTGTACTTTGGCTCAGTATCACTTTACCCCCTTCTACTCTCGATTGTATCGATCTGCCCTCTGCACTTGAAAAATTGTCTCAATGTGGCACATTTGATCTTAATACCTTTTGATCTAAGCTCTGAAATTACAAAAACGCTACCTCTCCCAATTTAAATAATCATTAAAAAAACCAAAAAAAAAATGAAAATTCAAGACAACAAAAAAATATAGTCCACGACGCCGGCCACAATTTATTTTTTATTTATTATTTTTTTAATTCTTATTTAAACTGGGAGGGGTGGTTTTTTTGTAATTTTTAGAATTGGATCAAACGGTGCTAAGGTCAAAGGTCTGAAAACTAACGGCGATGGCCACATTGAGACAATTTTTCAAGTAAGAGGGAAAAATCGATACAATCGTATAGAATGGGGTAAAGTGATATCGAACCAAAGTACAAAGAGACAAAGTGGAATTTACCCTATTGTTTATTTAGGCCCAAAACGACATTTTTATTACAATTTCGTCCAAAACAAAATAAAATCTGAATAAATTTACTAAAAAGATGAAATAACATAAATACTTTAGGAGGGTTTTAACAATTAGTACATTATATTTTATTTACAAACATTATTTATTTCTTTATCTTATATTTTTTTTAATCCAAAACCTTAATAAATAATTTGATTATACCACATTGATTAGATAGTTGTGGTTATTTTTATGAGTATTATTTATTTATTTTGTAATTATTAAAAATATAAAATAATTAAAAATGTATTGTAATTTTAAAAATAAAATTTTAGTTGTTTATATAAAACGATCAATTTACCTAATTGTTTTATAAATATTCCGTTATTTTTTATTTCCGTAACAAATATTTTTATTATTCTTTGATAAATTCTAATAGTATTTCAAATTTAAATAAACAATGAAAAAGAATCAAATAAAAATAAATAAATATTTAAAAGAAAAAAGAAAAAGAGAAAGAGAAAATATTTTTCTCCTCTTGTCTTCTCAATTATAGCTTTGGTGTTCTTTTAGAATACAAGCTAACTCTGGTTGAAAATAAAATTGGGATACACAATAGAAGATTAAATGTATTCAGCTCTGTGATTTTCGAGAAGCAAGGATTGGTGGGTGGACTCGTTCGTGCGCCGAAGATAGAAAGGAATCTGCACACGAAAATATAAGTTGCTAGATTAGATTTCATACGCTTTAAACGAAAAGAAAAGCACGTTAATATAATTAAAACCGACTAATCTAAAACTTATTGCGAATTTTTATTGTCTTACGGGCTTCACATGCATTGCAAGAGTTTCTTCACTTTTGTTCTGGTTTATCCATGAATTCTTCATTTTGTCCCTTTTTGCCCTCACTCTCGCCCGTCGTTTCTTCACTCTTGTAACTTTCCTCTCACTCTCGCTCGTTGTTTCTTCACTTTTATTCTCAGTGCTCTCACTTTCTACAGTTGTTTCCTCACGTTTGCCCTCTTTTCTCTCATCATCCTCTCCCATTGTTTCCTCACTTTTGCCCTCTTTGCTCTCACTCGGTCCACTCTTTTCTTTGCTCATTTTCGTTCACTTTACCATTCACGGCACCACTCTATCCATTCTCTTCTTTCCCATCATGCTCAATATTCTCATTCTCTTTACTTGTTTCTCCATCCTCATCGTTGCCCGTTGTCACCATTATTTCCTTCTCTTCGCCCTCCGTATTATCCTCACTATTCTCCTTACTATCATTCTCCTATTATTCACTCTCTCTCTTCTTACCATCTTCAATGTTTTTTCTAGCATCCACTGAATACTCTATCTCTTTGCCACTGATCTACCGGCTTATTTTCATTATCGAAATGTGATTTCTCCTTCATTTGATGATCATCCTTTTTCTCCTTCTCATCAAAAATACCTTTTTGCTCGCTTATCGGCTGGAGATCCTTTCTCCCTAACTTGATACGATCTCCTTCATCTTCAATATTTGAGAAAACTTTCGCCTTCTCTAACGATGCATTTTTGTCACGAGAGTGTTGCACCTGGTAAAGCAACCGTATGGAAACTCCGAGCAATACGCATATCTGCAGCACGTTGTCACGGACTTAAAACTTAATCAAGTAGCGTACGGCTCTTAGCCACTAATTAACACCCCTCACGAATATGCTAAGTCAGTATCATTCGAAAGCTCACAAGAGCGTGTCCAAGTGTTTAAGAAAGAAAACAAGTGTTGGAGTATGCTAAAGAATACTTTATTGAATAGATTATTTGATGATTACAAATGAATGAGACTATCCATATTTATACAACTCCACCTCCTCAGTGGATGGTGGCGATCAACTTGATCTAATGGCTAAGATTAACTCATACAATCTCCTAACAAATATTTACAAAAGAAGATCCTATAATGATATCTACATTAATCTAGAATGCTCGAAGGATCTCTTCAATTGGGCCTAGTTGGGCCATCTTTCATTGAGTTTGTTTGGTGGGTCAACTTTAGCCCCTTCACTTCATGAAAAAATGGGCGGTCTGTGACGACGTGCTTCACTTTTATCCCTTTGTTTCTCCTGCTCCTATGAGGCGATTGCCTAAACATGGTTTCCTTTTGCTTCGAAAACAACCAGATTTTGCAAATGATTTGTCGTAATCATCAAACAAATTGGAAGATTAGATGAATCTTTTGCAATATGCATTTCCAAAAAAAGGCAGACTGGTTTACAAGAACATTAGATAGAGACAAGGCAAATGTTACATTTCTATATTTCCTACGGTATAGTTTATTAGGGGTTATTTGAGATAATCCCTCACTAGTCTACATAATATGGGATACGCCTTTTAAACTATTGAATAAAATCCATTAAATTTAAGTCCCATTTGAATAAAGCCAAATAATTAGCTTATACATTTTTTAAACTTTCAAACTCTAATTAGGGTTTGTTTTATCTTATTATATTTTTTAAATATTATTTTTATTTATTTATTTAAAAAAATTAAAAATAAATACATAATTTTGGTTTTGTTTTTTTTTTTTTTTTTTTTTTTTTTTACAGCGGTGGCCTGTGTGGTCGGAGCCCCTGTTAGCTGACTCAACATTAGTTAACTTCAATTCGTTGACATTCATTTTTTTTTTTATCTTTTTTTTTCCAGCAGCGGATTGTCGGAGTTTCGGTTAGGTGACTCAACTTTAGTTGCTTCAATTAGTTGATATTCATTTTTTTCTACCGGTGGCGGGTCGTCAGAGCTCTAGTTAGCTGACTCGGCATAGTTAACTTAATTCAATTAGTTGACATTTTTTTTCTTTATCTGTTTTTTTATTTTAATATTTTTTTTCGACAGCGGCTCGTCGGAGATCCAGTTAACTGACTCAGCATTAGTTAACTTCAACATTAGTTGACATTCCATTTTTTTATTGTCTTTTTTCTTTTCTTTTTTTCTTTTTATTTTTTCCAACAGCAGATCGTTGGAGCTCTGGTTAGCTGACTCACATTAGTTAACTTCAAAAAAGAAAGAAAAAAGACAAAAAGAAAATGGAATATCAACTAATGTTAAAGTTAACAAATGTTGAGTCAGCTAATCGGAGCTCCGACAACCTACCACCGGAAAAAAAAAATTTAACGGAAGAAAAAAAGAAAAATAATAAAAAATAGATTGTTTAAAGTTAACTAATTGGAGTTAACTAATGGTGAGTCAGCTAACTAGAGCTCCGACAACCCGCCGCTGTAAAACAATATAGGGTTTATAAGGGAGAACCCCCTCAAAACACATTTGCCTATAGTATGGATCCGACCTTTTTTTTACCATTTAGCAACACCCCCTTGTTTTACTTTTATAATTATCTTAAATCCCAATGCTATTGATATTCATATCCTACCCTTATAAGACATACAGTTTACACCCCTAAAGTATACCATCTGTAAGATTGTAACACTACCTCCCTAAAGTATCGTTAATTTGTAACACTTACCCCCCTCAAGCACAATTTAATTTGTATTTTAAATTCTAATACTTTTTTTCTTCTTTCATTGAAACAAATAGCTAAAAAAATAATTAAATTATACAACTAAAAATATCTGTTAAAAAATGCAAAATTTTAAATTTTGAAATATTTATCTTGCGTTGGCACATATTTTATAAATAACATCTAATTGTTGTTGAACCAATTAATCGAATACATTCATTTCGATAAATTTTAAGAAATCAACACATAACTAATAGTAATCTTAAGTATTTAAATTTATTTTAGTTTATTAATTTCTTAAAATATATTTACATTCATTATTATACAATATATATTACTTTTTAATATGTTTTCAATATATTTAATTTTAGTTCCTTTTCATTATTATACAATATATATTACTTTTTAATTTTTTTCAATAATTTAATTTTAGTTACTTTTCATTTTTTATGATCCAATGATTATTAGATTCTTATGTTTATTATATTTTAAATTTTAAAATATAAAATAATTAATATTGAGGAGGGTAAGTGTTACAAATGATACTTTAAGGATGTAAATATTACATAGGCTATACTTTCGGGGTGCAAAGTGTATTTAACCCTAAGACATCACTACAAGAAAAAGGTGTTTTAACAACACTTGATGTGTGTTGTGAAAGGGTTAAGACAAGACACGGGCGAACCTTGTTGATCAACATTTTGTTAAATCATTGGCACATTTGACAACGTACATACAAAGTTGTAAAACAAGTAAATGCATGCATCAGGCATGTTGTTATAGGTAATTAACAAAATGCCCATGCGGGTAGTTATAAGTTTTATGACAAAAAGTAAAGCATGTTGTCATACACAATAACAAAATTAAAATGAATCATGTTGAAAGATATATAGCGATACAAATATTTTATTAATTCAATAATAATATCCTATTCATGTTGTTATGCAAATTGTATTTATTTTTGTCCCGTTGACAATTGCTAGTGTTCGCAAATTTTACCATCCATTCACATTTTCAAAATCAATTATTTTTCATTGACAAAATTGAAATGTCACATAAACAAAGATTCAACACTAAATCGTCAAAATCACAATGTCATACATAGTTTAATCGAATTAAAGTCGATCTACTCAAAGTACAGTACGATAGATAAGACTAAACTAATTTATTTACATTTAACTTGTAGCAGTCTCATAACATAGTCCAAACTCACATTCTATTCAAGTCAAAGTTCATCTAATCTTCGGTTTTCCTCGTCTTTATTTCGCAACAATAGAGATATTCCAAATATGTTTAACACCGATGACAAAAAAGAATAGCAATTAAAATAAAATAATATGTATATGTACTAAAATAATACCTTTTAAAAAGCTGTTACATCTTATTTTTAGGATTAATTTTTAAAGTGTTTGATAATGAGCTTATTTCATATTTTTACTCCTTATAAGATCTCAAATAAAAAGGTGGGGTAGAGGTATTTTTTTAAAAAATAATCTTATTTGCTCTCCAACAACTTATTTTATAAAAAATTAAGATTTCTTTTTTAAATTTAGCGAACACTTTGGAAGAGCTTATAAGTTCTATAACATCTTATAATCTCCTTTTAACATCTTATAAGCTTAGCCAAACACCCTCTTAGAGTTTGTTTGGCTAAGCTTATAAACTCCTAAAAACATCTTATAAGATGCTTAAGAGCTTATAAGCTGTTAAAAGGTGTTTGGTAAAAAATTACAAAAGATCTTATTTTTTCCAAAAATAAACTGCTAGGGAGCTTATAAGATATTCTTAAAAAAATACATCCACCCCACATTTTTTCTGTAAGATCTTATTTGCTTATTTACTAAAACACTCAAAATACAAATTTACCCTCAAATACTTTATTATATTACATAATACTAATCACATTTATATTTTGTCAAAAAAAAAGGTATTATTGTAATCAAGATGAATAATTAGTTAAAATATAATTATTATAATAATTGTAAGTAAAAACATTCCCTATTTATATTTTATGTGTATAAAAATACCCGAATATTCTTATTATTTCAATAATAAATTATATTTCTTTTATCTATTAAAAGAAAATATATTTCTTTTACAACATTTATTTTATATTAAAATATTAATGGTACAAAAACATTAAAACTTTCACAAACCTGTTTCATTAAAATATTTTATTACACTTCATTTTATTTTAAAAATAGTTAAATATCATATCAACATACATAAAAAAATGTCATTTAGTTTATTTAATATATAGTTTTATATTATTATTTTTATTTGAGAAATTAATTCGTAAATATTATAATAATATTTTAGGAACAAAAGTATTTGAGTAAAATACGTTTAACAGTTATAATGACGTCATGTATTTTTTTTGTCATTATAACGATAAACAGACATTTTATTTCCAAACACCTGAACAACTTATAAAAATTAAAAGTAACTTATAAGCTACATACCCAAACACCTTAATTTTTTTTTTAAATAAGATCTAACGGCTTATCAGCTCGTAAAACATCACATCTTATCAGATGTAGGAACTTATAAGATGTTTTAAATAAGTTTAGCCAAACAGGCCCCTAATAGTCCTGACCCCTGAATAAGTTTTACACAATATACATATTATAAAACATATATATAGCTTTATAAGATATAAAACTATGGTATTTTACATCCTGTCTTATTTTAATTTAAAACTGAAAATATATAGTGAACCCCAAAGACAAATAATTGTCTGTTATCTTGAATAACAATGTCAAGTGGCCTCCCTGGATTCAATCTGTTCAGGTATATTCCTTGTTAACCAACCCCTTGTACCAACTCATGAATCTTGCTATAAACTCTGTACGTAAGTCGAATAAACAATTAGTATGCACCGTGTTTCAATTTCAAAGACGAGGACGATAGTACATGAACCATGAATAAAGCTTCGGGTATATTCATTTAATTGAATTTCTTTTTTTGTTTTGCCAAATTACCTTCGATCCGCATGAACTGTTGAACGTTCTTTCTTTGATCGTGTTGTTTTTTACCGAGCTCCTCTTGTTGAGTTGCCGACAGCAAGTACCTACTAACAGCATGGTATTTCTAGGAAGGAACAAAAATACGGTTAGCCGCCATTTACGCGATTTCACTTTATCATGGACAAATGAGTCATTTGAAAAACCGAAAGAAAAACACTAGTGATAGGCGGTGGAGGTTCATACTTGATATTCGTCGTAAAGGTGGTCAAATTGTTGTTTTAACTCCTCAGGCAGAATGTTTTTCAGTTCATCCTTGAGACTCTGCATGAACATAATTGGTTAATAAATTATAATCTTTTACGGTAAATCGAAAACTAAGTACTTCTTCTTACTTGGAATATGAACTCAGGAGCTACATTGTGCTCTATAAGGTTTTGAAGTTCTCCACGGATATTATACAGCCTATCGAAAGCAGATGATTCATTCTGTGAGACTGAATGTAACTAAATTTGTTGTATATATGTTATATACCTTGGGGCAAATTGCACGTCACCCCCTTGTAAATTTCTAATTTCAACACTTTACCCCTCAAATTCTTGAAAAGTGAATGTCCCACTTCAAAATGTTATTCTTGTTGCACATTGCGATCCCTGTTAGCAAAACTCCGATAGGATGTTATGTAACCACAATTAGGTATTTTTGTTGCAAGTTGCCCCTTAAAAACTACCTTTTTGCACGCTGCCCCTTTAAAATGTTTTTTTTTTTTTGCACAATGCCCTCCAAAAATTGGCTTCTAGGGCGAAATAGTGCAACCGAAATAGTATTTCGAAGGGGGAGTATCCCTTTTTTGAAATTTTAAGGGGGGAAAGGGCAAAATTGAGAAATTTATAGGGGGTGAAGTGCATTTTGTCATATATCGTAATGGTACTTACTGCTTTGGGCTTTGCTCTTTTAGAACATTTTTAGCAATATTGGCTATTCTATCTTCCCAACCCATTTTGATATCTTGGTCTTCCTTAAGAGAGTCACTGCAGCCACTTCATTTCGTATACAAAGTATCGGAAACGAAAAATGTTAGCTAAGCAATATACATTTTTTGTACGTATATATGTATATTATACCTGAAGTGCCACGTGGCTTCGAACGAGCGTATAGCCTGTCTCAAGTTGTTCTTGGAGTTGATCGCGATTTTATACGCCAACGGTTGAGGTAACTGTATCCCTTCTCTCTTTGCTATGAATGCCAAAACTTCGAGAATCTATATACGACGACACGTAACCGCAGTCGTCAAAGGTTTGAGTTTGAACGACGAGTTTCGACATTTTGTAAAAGCATAATTTGAATATAATATTGCTACCTCTTCAACCGAAGGTTCAAGGAGTTGAACATACGTGCAGAGTGGCACTATCGGCTGAAGCTTTTTGGCATCACTACAGCAAAAGAATACCTTGTTGCATCCTTTAAACCTCTCTAGCATCCACTTGATATACGACAGTGCATCGGTGGACAGTTTTTCCGCCTCGTGTAGAATAATGGCTGCATGGTTTACAAGTGATTAATTACATGACATGCCATTAGTCTATTATATCTTTGAAGTATATATGTCAATATATATACCTTTACAGTTATCGCCATTGCAGTTCAAAGTCGTTGTATCAGACGGGATATTATTTTTCTCTTTAATAAGTTCGACGATGATATGCTTCTCGTAACCTTTAAGTTCAGAAAGGTTGACTTCGACGTGTTGCGGCGAAACCAATAAATTCACGAAGATGCTACCCACTGCTTCTCCCTGTGATGAATCAAGTGATCGATGTCAATGTAGAAACTAAGGTGCAATTGTTGCTATATATTAGGTCAACTCTTAAACCCTAAAAATCCATGCACTGCATATAATACTTGAGCAGCATTTTTTTTTTCACTTTATAAGTACACCTTAGTCTATGAAACAAATGTATGATCATTAAGTATATATATATATATATATATATATATATACGTTCGGTTGCAATATTAATAAACAGAGACGCATGTTGGCAGTTGGTTCAAGTAGCTGAGAAAATGGTATCAGAACTCCTGAATTAACGACATATGCGTCAAGTTGCAAAAAGTTTGAATAATGCGGAATATACCTTCAAGTAAAATTTCTTGCATTCTTCTCTTGCCTGTGGATAAAAACATCTGAGATATAATCAAATAACATCAAACCATATATAACATAGAAAATGTTGTTTCAACGTAAAACAATACATTCTTTACGGCTCCTTTAGGTTAGAAAAACACAACACGTTGTTATATGTACGATAACAGATGTTAGATTGCTCGTAACCTGCAGTTTACGGGAAAATTAAATGATACACCTGATTATTTACACTGGGTGGATTTGAACCGTAGATTTTCACATAATCACACACACCCATATGTATGCATGCTTCGTGGGTAATTATTTAATCAAATCAACGTACGGTCAAATCCACCCAGCGTAAATAACCAGGTGTAGCATCTAACTCCCCAAGTTTACGTTGGCCTAAAGATGAAATCGACATGCATATTCTTGTCAAATTAATTTGTATATGTTTAATTGTTGTACCTGTACTTTGTCTTCTCCGAAAGCTTCTCGAAGCAAAGCCCAGATCATGGTTCTCTTTCCGACCCCGGGATTCCCTTCGAATATGAAGTGACCGCATTGCTCGGCTTTGTCGTGCCAGTTTCTTACAATGCTCTTTAGCCAAAGAGCTTTATTCCTATTGCACAGAAATTCTTGCAGCCAATAAGGCCGATACGTATCTGCCCAGACGTACTCTCTTTCGTTTCCTCCTCCGGCACCTGGTGTCCAAGCTAGTGGTGGTGGTGGTGCTTGCACAGCCGGCGGCTGCGGCGGTGAGATCAGTGGTAGTGGATATGGTAATAACTCCGGTGGTGACACGGTTGGCGGTGGTAGCGGCAGCATAGATGGCTGCGGTTCGGTATCTCTCTCCCTTAACGGCTTCTCCGTAGTTGGCGTGGTATTGGGAAAAGTAACTTTCTTCTTCTCAGATTGAGAGTCGTTTCTCATAGTCTTTATGTTAGTTTCCGTGACTTTCGATGATGCTGACGAGGAAGATGAAGTCATGAACCTCGTGTCGTGAGATTGTTTCGTCGAGGAGGAGCTTTTTGTCCAAGAAGAAGAAGAAGCCGAAGACGACAAACTTGTTCTCTCGTTCCTTTTCGATGTAAAGCAAGAGGAACCCCATTCTTGCACCTTGACAACGAAGCTCGTCCTCGAACCAGAACTGACGAAGCTCGTCGCAGCGTGGCTCTCTCTCCCGGGGCTCGATCCGGAAAGCTTCTCTCGGTTGATCACGAGCGAAAAGTCGGTTAAGCCCTTGTAGTAAGGGCTGCTGCTTGTATTGTTTGCGTATCTTCTGTTGAACTCGTGGAGCCTCTCTTCGGTTAGGTCCGAGTTCTTGGGTTTCGATTTGATGTATTCGGCTAATTTTGTGGGCCATGGTGTGGTAGTTACGGGTGACCCTGTCGAGCGAGATGATCGGACGGACTTGGTTGAAGCGGGTTCGTTCGAGGGCGAATCGGGGCTGTTGATATCGGGGGCTGATTTCGAACGTGGGATAACAGGACTTGGCATTGAAGAGGTGAGACTTTGTAAGGGTTATTATAATTTTTATCAACAAGAAAGTCTTGCATGTTGAAGAGAAGTGTTTTGTGTTGTGTTGTGTTGGGTTGTGTAGTAATTTTCAGGCGTTAATTTCTGAGGAATAACTCTAAATTTGGTCGTTGATAACTATATGGGGTTGGCTTCTTTTTTGGGTCAATTTGATGATAACAAGAATGTTATCTATGGTTGTTGAGGTTGTTTCCTTTGGTTGTTAAGTGAAGCTGTTTAATGTCTGGAATAGTCTGTTTAAGAGTAAGATATTGTATAAATGAAGAGATTCAGGGGAATCAGGATTAAAAAGTATTGGGGCTAACTAAAATTTCGGGGTTCGGGGCAGTGCTCCGAAAAAAATTTTAGGTTCACAAGACATTGCAAAAATAGGTTTATATTGCGAATTTTTAATTAAAATAACACACACACACACACACACACACACACACACACACACATATATATATATATATATATATATATATATATATATATATATATATATATATATATATAATTTTATCATATTTCAAGCATGGCAAAAAAATCAAATTATATTAATAATATATTGCACTTAATGGGATTTATGGCACCGTCTCATATTATGTTTTAGACACATTGATATAAAAAAAAATCAAAGATCGGATAAGTAAATATTCATAAATTTTATTTAAAATAGTATAAGTTTTAACCATTTTATTTTATATTTTTATATTAAATATGATATACATCTATAATTTATATAAAATTATGGAGAATACAAAAAAATGAAGGGTTAAGACACATATTTACAAAACCTTTGGAGGAGCCAAAAATAATATTCAAATAATATAATATCAAAATAGCTAAAAAAAAAAAATTCTTGGGAGGTCAACTGCTCCTCTCCCCCTTAGAAGTGCCGCCACTGAAGAGATTGGATAAATAGGAAAAGTAGACGTTACACCTGCTTATTATTATTGGGTTGATTTAACTGCAACGGCAAATAAGTCCATGACAAACAAGTTTGGAAGTACATTTTTTAATTAAATTAAAAAGGAATTTAATTCAAAACGGACGCTCCGTTTTACTAATAGAAATGGACACCACTTGCACCAAAGGCGAAATCCCTCGCCCCAGGGCCCCCATCCCTTGGCCCGACAAAGATTGATGGAGAATGTAAATCATGGTAACTCAACGACCCGTTAAGGAACCAATCTCATCATGACACCACTAACATCACTAACATCACTAACATCATGACATGTGGATTTTGAATGGAATATGATTTGTTTTCTCATCTCTCCTAGAGTGAGGCAATTATAACTTCAATCTCTATTTATCTTTATATTTCTTTTACTTTCTTCTTGATTTTCGTTTTTCTCTTTTTCTTTAAATAAAAAAATTTCTTTTACAACACATCTTAATTCAATCTCACATGTGTTGGGAATTGATTATCAAGACCCAAAATAAATGCATAGAAAATTTATTATATATTATTTATCTACTTCATATGAAATTACTTATGATTAAAAAAATAAATTCCAAATAAATTAAAGAATTTATTGACTACAAAATATAATATTATTTGCTAAATCATTAAGTTTATGTATTATAAGGGAAATTTTAATTTTATTTGAAAAAAAAAATATGCAAAGAAATAATGTAAACAAATATCAGAGAGAAAACTAAATTAATACTCATAATTTGGTTCTTTTAACTGCCACGTTTACGAGAGATAAATCATCTATTCGCTTGAAATTAAAGTCACTAGGTGTATGGCATCCATTTTTCTCAAAAAAATGGGGCGTCCGGCCCTAATCTACACCCAATTAAAAGATAGACATTCAATATTTTTGTCTTAATTGAAATGAATCCGCATCACTAAAACTTATTTGCAAATAAAAAAAAATAATTGTATATATAGCAAAATTACCCTCAATTCCTTTAAACTCTTATTCAATTTCAATTGTTAAATTGACAAAAGAGCGAATTTATTGAAGTTTAAGAATTTGTGAATATATATTGGAATTTACTCTGCAATCTATCAAAAAATAATTATGTATCTATCATGCCCCTTTATTTAACGAATGAATTGCGGTATTTAACATTATGGGCGGCGGCGTTTGATACAATACAATTGACTATTTACACAATTTAATTATACAAATATCTGTGAAGTTCATTAATATTTGATATATATATATATATATATATATATATATATATATATAAATGAGAGTTTGATTACAAAAGAATGATAGCACCTCAATATTCAATTATTATTAGTGTCACTTTCATTTTGTTTGTTGAAAACTGTTATGTTTAATATCGAAACTACACTTGTTTTCTCAGGAAACTGAAATTCCTCAAGTATACTTGCGTGGAGAAATCAAATTAAACATGAGCTAACATGAAGGAAGCCTTCCTCTATATATTCCTTAAAATCTAAATTGTACTACAATTTAATTATTGGGGAATCGCAAAAACATCCATAGCACCAGCACTTAATTAATGGAGTAACATAACTTTATAAAATTACCACTAACTCCTTCAAACCTTATTTCACCCTCAATTTCATGATTTAACCCCTAATTTAGTCGTAGTTTCACCAATTAACTAATTTTGACCCATAACCCAATTTCGACCCTGATTTTGACTGTCACCGCCGGTCTCCGATTATTTCTTTTCTTTTTTTGAATTTTTTTTTTCTTAATTTTTTTTCGGCCAACCGCCACCATTGACCGCTAGTCTCCGTTTTATTTTTTTATTATTTTTACATTATTTATTTATTTTTTTCTGAATTTTTTTCCCCAGCAGGTCACGAGGCATTGACTTTTAAAAAAAAAAAATCTCTTTTTCAATAACATTACTGTCTCAAAGAGTAATATTATTAAATTTATTGTCTCAGACTGCAATTTTACTATTTCAGTGCAATATTACTTTCTGCGATAGTAATTAATTTTATTATGTTAATATTAATATTACTGTCTCGGCCTCCAATATTACTCTGGAAAATTAATATTACTGTAAAAAACGATTAATGTCGTGCGAAAAAAACAAACAACCTAATGTTACTGTGAGAGGACATTAATGTTACTGCGACAAAACTGTAGTAGAAATTAGTATACCTGTCAAAATTAATGTTAATGTGATAACTAAAACCATGGTTATCGGATCGTAAAAATATCTCGTATCGTTTTGCTCCACATCTCGTACCGTATCGTTATCGTATCGTATCGTAAGATATTTAACCAACTGTGAAAATAGTAAAAAATATATATCTACATTATAAAAATATTATAAACATATAAAATTTATTATTTTTAAGTTAAACTACTCATTTCAAAATAGATATAAATTCAAGTTTTAACATCTTATTAATAATTGTTCATCAAATAACATCATCTAAGGTAGTGTTTGTCTAGACTTATAAGATGTTTAAGAGCTTATAAACTCTTCCAATGTGTTAGGTAATTTTTTTAAAAAGATCTTAAAAATTCAAAATATAAGTTGGTGGAGTTTTTGAAAAATTACATTTACCCCGCGTATTTATTTAAGATCTTATAATGAGTAAAAATATCTTGTAAGATTATTATCTAAACACTTGAAAAAATTAATTCTAAAAATAAAACGTAATAACTTATCAACTCTTAAAACAACTTATCAGATGTAAGAGTTTATCAGCTGTTTAAAATAAACTTTAACGAAATGGGCCCTAAGTTCAAATTCGAATACCTAATTTGTAAAAATATTCGATCACTCATAATCTTAAAGATCAATGTCACTTAAATCGTCCTCATCCACCAATTTTAAACGATTGCCTTCATCATTCTCAATCGCAAAATCCAGTCAAAAAACGCCTTGAATCTGTCTTGAATCGCATAAATTAAAATCGCAAGGGTTGCGATATTGTAAGGATTGGTGACGAGATTGAAGAGCAAAGTGTGAATCAAGGTTGGAATATTGAAGAAATTTGTTCAAATCCATTTTTCAGAGAAGCTGATTGCGTTTCTTTTTTTTTCGTTTTTTCTAATTGTCGACTAATATCGTAAATATCGTATCGTATCGTGATACGACGATACGATATCTCGCGGTATTTAACGGTATTTATCAATACGCAATACAGAACCCGAGTTGTATCGTTTTGATTGGAATCGTACCGTATCACGATATATATCGCGGTATATCGCGAGATTAACTACCATGACTAAAACTACTATCAAAATTAATATTACTGTGAAAAAATTATATTACTATTTAAAATTAATATTTGCATGAGAAAAATATATAAACAATGTTAATGTTACTGTAAAAACAAATAATGCATGTCACTTCGACAAAATTTTAAAGTAAATTAATGTAACTGCTAAAATTAATGTCACTGTGAAAATTAATATTACTATTAAAAATTAATGTTATTAAAAAAATTAATGTTACTATGGAAAAAAATAATGTTTATGTTAGAAAAATATTTTTATTAATGTTAATATCAATGTTTTGAAAACCGGACCGGACATCAAACCGGACAACCAACTGGGTCATGGTTGGACCGGTTCAACCGGGGTCCGACCGGTTTTTCTATTTTTTAATTTTTATTTTTTATTTATTTATATATAATTTTTATATACACAAAACTACTTACTGATGACCCATTTAAAATATACCAAAAATAAAGCACCAAACAACAAATTAATAATTATATTTCATTTACCATGTATACGTTTATATATAATAAATTTTGTATTAATAGAGGTCAATTAAATAAATTACTCAAGAAATTACAATAAAACTTTTATGTAAATTACTAAGTATACCCTCAAACCCTAATTGTGTTTTGTGATGACCACTACATGCCGTCTTATTATCTTCCGCCTCCCACCTATTCTTCTTTCCAATTCTTCTTAGTCGGTGCTTATGTAAGTTTTTTCTATATTTTTTATTTTTTTTCTTCTTTTCTTTCTAATTTTCTCTTCTTTCATTCTCAATTCCTCCCCACTATA